CGCAGCCTGACTGGAGAAGACCTATGGAATTCACGTCACCTCCAAACAGCTGCGAAACTTCTTGTATGGAGTCACCCATGGACAGCTACCAGACCAGCACTCTTGATCTGGAAGACCTCCAACATCGAGCAGCTCCGACAACGTCGCTACGGTCCAGGATATCATCTTCACCGCAGTCGCCAAGGCGCGGGTTGATGGACCGGAAGTTCCTGGAATGGGGGGGGGGATTGAAAGTGAACGCTGACTGCAACATCGAGCAACTCGAGGAGAATATCCTGCCTTCATGTCGTCGCCTGTACCATCTTGGAAACTTCGTACTGCTACAGGATTGGGTGCACCACATGGAATCGAAGGGCGTTGGAAAAACTCTCGCCTACTTGGAATCGAAGGGCGTTGAGAACCTGAAGAAGACGGAATATCCAAGTTGCAGCTGAGCAAACCCCTTGATTACCGGGTTTGGGAGGAGCTCATCAGGGTGGTCTACAGTGGCGGAGAAATCAACGACCTCGCTGAACTCAGGCACCGAATCACGGTCGCGTGGCAGAATCTCTCGATGGCGCTCGTCCAGAAGGCTGTGGCGGAGTTTCATGATCGTGTGCAATGTGTTGCTGAATTTGTAATGAAAATGTCCAATCAGAGTTTGATAAAGTGTAACTTATATCGCCTTGAAAGTCAAGGAAGACTTATGTCCTTTCTACCCCTCCCCTGTGTATGGGATTCTTTGTCTAAAACATCGATTGAAGTTTTAAAGTAACTCGATAACTTCTAAAGCCGTGTTTCTGCTGTTTCTTTTTGTCTCCTTAAAGTACGATTCACCAGAAGGTAATAAAACTGGAAGTATGATTTGGTCCTATAAAGAAATGCTTCAAGTTCAGGTAATGAGAGGTGGGGTTTACCAGCACGACGGTACACTTAAAGTAGAAGACTACGCGAGGACAATTACTGATAGCTACGATAGCAAAGTAAGCGGAAGAAAAAGCTCCAGCGATAAGGGAATCTAAGATGGTTTGTCGGTTTCAGGGAATCCAAGAGCCGTTTTCAATCATTGATCTCGATGTTGTCAAACGTAATCTGGATCTTTGGAACACTGCGCTGCCATCCGTCAAGGTCACTCTCGTTACTTTTATGATTTAATTGTGATAAAAGACCAGAAAACAATCAGAAATCGATAACTGGAAACTATTTCGGAGGAGGAGTTCAAAGTGAAGTAATGTGCGTTTAGGCGATCAACAGAATTACCAGTCCCATCATTGCGGACCGGTGGGCGTGTCAGCCCAGAAGGAGTGCGCACATTGTTGAAGCCGTTCTCAGCCTTTTCGTTGCAACGCGTATGCGACAAAAAGTGGTAGAATGATTTCTAGCGTTACGCCAGGATATTATACAGCACTGCCTGCACTGTTCGCTCCAAACTGGTGCATGAGCGACTTTGCCAAATCCGACGCAAAATGTCAGCCGGCAAACTGCCACGCCCCCCCCCCGCCCGTTCCGTCAATGATGAGGACTGTACATATTTTACCATCTGAGTAGAGACATAGCTCACAGTGCTAAAGACATATTCCACGACTATCTTGATTTCACACGCAATTTTCCTTGACCAATAGAGAAAAAAATGAAAGCTTTAATTTGACAAAATAAACTCCATATAAGATGGTTGTGTGTTCGCGCACTTCCGAGAAGCATCGCTGGCTTCAAGGCAGTCTGTCTTATCTTGGAAAAGTGGAGGTCGTGGGGCGCATGGTGAATAGTTCGACCTCTTGTTTCCCTACTGGTAGCGTTCACAAATCTATTATATTGCAATTCCACGATCGATAGGGGGGGTGGACCGTCTCTTTAACAGCTCCTTTCAACAAATCGCTTCAGAAAAAACTCTATTCCCAACTGTTCGCGTCATAGAGTATTTCAGCCTGGTTAGTTTCAGCCGTACTACGCTATCAAATGTAATCCAGATCTGAACATCTTAAGAACACTGTCAGCTCATGGCGCTTGCTTCGATTGTGCAAGCCTTCCAATATTGACACTGGTAAGGTGGTTCTTCTCATTTGTTAGAAAGTACACATCTTTGGTGAAAATATAAAATGTAAGGTGCTTCAACATGATAACTGTGACTTAACGCCGCAGTTCACTCTCCCAAGATTTTGTCAGAATGCTGAGTTAAGGGCAAAAACTCTTGACCTCAGGCGAGACTAGAACCCGTGAAGGGAGGATGGAAGCGTGGAGGAGGAACCAGTGGAATATCAGTTTCTCGGCTAGGGCAGCGAAACTCATATGAATGAATGTGCAAGCAAAACTCCATGCCCAAATATATCATTTCCTTCCTTCCCCTCCACATACACATCTGGGCAGCTTCTCAGGACAACTCGTCTCTCGGCAGCGGGCGCTGTGTCGCTCGTCACGCCGCCTAGTGAAGCAGATCCGATTGCATCGTGACATGCCCGGGGAGACGAACGGTTGTAACGTGACCTAAAAAGGTCGCACCCCACCTTGCGCGCGGCACTTGCACAACCGTATCTGCACCGGCAAGGTAGTTGTAGTTGGGGCAAGGGATTTGGTCTTTTTCACGTCTTGCTCTTCAAAGTAGCAATGCGATAAGTGTCTACAATAATTTCAACGTGCCATGAGGCAAACTCGTATGCAAAGGCTGCGGTGTCGCATGTCGCTTCGAAAATCATAATTATTCCAGGTCCTGTCGAATGGCCTGGCTGCAGGTGAAGAAATCATTCTGGCGCATCCAGTGAAAAGCCGACGTTGCATAGAGTACGCTATACAAAATGGGGTCACGATGATGACTTTGGATAGCGTCGAGGAGTTGAGAAAAATTGTCAGTATCACTAAAGAGGCCAAGTGAGTTACGAAATAGAGTGGCAGCTGTTTTGAGAAGGGGTCACGGTCAAGTTCGGAGTGCAAAAATAGCAAGGGGGAGA